AGTAGAGGAAGGGGAGGAAGGAGAGGGAAACAGGAGGTACTGGGGAATGAAACTGACCAAATTACGCTGTGTATATGTGTGAATCTGTTACAACAAATTCCATTATTGTGTATAAATATAATGCAGCAATACTTTTTTTAAAAAAAATTCCAGTGTAAAATGTAAGTAATATATAGAAAACCAGGCTCAGGGAGGTCTAGAACGCACTAATGGAATTTTGGAGGCCCAAACTCCATTTGCTCACCCTCAATTATATAGTTATGGGTGTATGGAAAGTTCCCAAGTAAGGGGTGGAGGAAGTACGGGCTTGGTTTAAAGATGAATCCACAGCACTGGCTACTGAGACTGGTCACTGTAAAACAGCCCACTCTCTGTTGGGCCTAGAAAGCAATACTAAAGGGAAACTTATAGAGTAAAAAACTGGGCAGCATATTTGGTAGTTCCTTTGAAGTGGGAGAAGAGATAGCCTGAGGTATGATCTACATCAGTTCAGAAGCAGTGACTAAAGATTGACAGACTATTGATAAATTTGGAGAAAACAAAACTTGGTGACCAGGAAATCTAGGGCAAAATATGAGGCTGAATCTCTCAAAATATGAGTCTGAAAATAAATGTCCACAGGAGTAGACATTTCTCAACATTCAAATGGATAAGATAACCCTCCCCCTTTTTTTGGTACTGGGAATTGAACCTAGGGGTGCTTAACCACTGAGCCATATCCTACCCCTTTTTATATTTTGTTTAAAGACAGGGTCTTGCTGAGTTGTTCAGGACCTTGCTAAGTACTTGAGGCTGGCTTTGAACTCATGATTCTCCTGCCTCAGCCTCCTAAACTGCTGGGATTACTTGCTCACTCATCTTTTTGATGTCAGTCTCTTGCCCTGCCTCCCAGGACTTACTAAATGGGCTTATGCATGGATGGATTTCATAACAAGGTCTTCTCCTTACCAAAAATGATCTGGTTCCCACCATTATTGAGGGCCCAACCTGCCAATAGCAAGCACCAATACTGAGCTCCTGATATGACACCATTTATCAGGGAGATCTGGTGGCAGGGTGGTTACATAAGGTTCCTCCCATCATCACAAAGGAACCAGTCCTTTGTTTTAATAGGCATACACATATATGCTAGGTATGGAATTGTCTGCTCTATTGACAACATTTCTGCCAGCAACCATTGTTGGTCTCATAGAATGTGTTATCATCATTGTATATCCACACAAACACACACACAAAATTGTTTTAGACTAGAGAATACATTTTACAGCAGTGGTCTCAAGCACTTAGAATTCACTACTGTATGTATCTTATCACCCACCCAGAAATAGTTGGTGTGATAGAACAAAATTGGCTGCTATAGTTCCAATCAGGAAAAGCTCTGGATACAGTATATACCTTAAATCAGCAGCCAATACAAGCTGCCATTCTCCTTAGTCAGAATCCATGGGTCTTGGAACTAAGAAGTATAGGAGGGAGGTGTCCCTCACTATCACACCTATCTATCGCTCATTTGGAGAATGTATGCTCCCCTCTCAATACCCTTGGGCATTTGGAGGTCCTGGTGCCTAGTAGAGGATGCTCTCAACCTCAACAGGGAACATAAAGGCTATTTCAGGCTCTTCATTTTGCTAAACCAACAGCTTGAGAATGGGACAACTTACTTGAGAAAATGAACCCAATTAACAGAACTGTAGGATCCAGCAATTCTACTTCAGGATATGTACATATCCAAAGGAACTGAAGTCAGTATGTTGAAGAAATATCTGTATTCCCATATTCACAAAATCCTAAGTGTCCATCAACAGATGAACAAAGAAAATAGTTTGTGTACATCACACACACACATTATTTAGCTTCAAAAAAGGCAACAAACCTGTTTTTTGTGACTACATGGATGAACCTGGATAATGATGAAGTGAAATAAGCCAGGCACTGAAGAAAAAACCACATTCTCCCTTACATGTGGAATCTAAAAACCCCAACCACCAGCTCTGGAGATGTTGGTCAAAGGCTATAAAATTTCAGTTAGAAAGGATGGTGACTAGTTATTAACAATGTATCCTTGAAAAGCACTAAGGTTGTAGCCATACAAAGTGGCACACACCTGCAATCTTAACTACCTAGGGATGGCCAATCAAGGCCAGGTTGGCAAATAATCTAGACCCTGTCTCAAAATAAGGAGCTGGGAATGTAACTCAGAAGTAGAGTATTCCTGGATGAAAAAAAGAAAGCAGCATTGTGGGAAGGAGGGGGATCAAGGACTGAGGTTTTAAGTGTTCTTACCATTAAAATAGTGAAATAATGTATATGCTAATTAGCTTGATTTAGCCATTCTAAAATGTACACATATATCAAAGCATCATGTTGTACATGACAAATATATAATTTGCCATTACAAATTAATTAATTAGAGGGGGCTAAGCACAATGGTCACACCTTTAATCCCATTGACTCAGGAGACTGAAACAGGAGGACCAAGAGTTCAAAACCAGCCTCAGCAAAAACAAGGCTCTAAGCAACTCAGCAAGACCCTATCTCTAAATAAAATTCAAAATAGGGCTGGGGATGTGGCTCAATGCCCCTGAGTTCAATCCCCATACCTCCCCCCAAAAAAATAATTAGAGGAGCTGGGGTTGCGGCTCATTGGCATAGCATTTGCCACAAAGGTGAGCACTGGGTTTGATTCTCAGCACTACATATAAATAAAAAACAACCGAAAATATTTTAAAAAGTAATTAGAAATAAAAAGGGGGAAAACTGGGTTTCTGCTACACAATGAAAACAAGGACAATTATGTCTAGGAGATTTGAGGAAGTGACTTGTTATTCTGTTTTATTTTTGTGGCACTGAGGATTGAACCTAGAGGGGTTCTTCCATTGAGCTACATCTCTAGCCCTTATTATTTTTTGAGGACATCCTTAACCTGCGGAGGCTGGCCTTGAACTTGCAATCCTCCTGTCTCACTCTCAAATTGCTGGGACTACAGGTATGTACAATGATGCCCAGTTCCCTATCAAGCCCTTTATGAGAGTACCTAATACGATTCATAAGGGCAGAGGCCTCATGAATGAATCCCCCTGTAAAGACTGCACATCTTAATACTGTTGCAGTGGAAACTGAGTTTCAGCATGAGTTTTGTAGGGGACCCCATCATTTGAGTGGACAGCATTGAGGCTGGAATGTACCTAACACTTGTCTAGCATGTACAAGGCCCTGGGTTCTGCCGCAGTCTGGCTGGGCACAATTCAGGAGCCATTTGTCAAAAGAAACGAACTTTTAGAACCACACACGCCAAACAAAACAACTCCTCAGGAAAAACCTTCAGAGCCCAACTGCCACCACAGGCTTCCCACAAGCCTCTCTACCTCCCCCACTCCTCCTGCTCTTGAGGCCGACTGGCTGGGTTGTGTGGGCGGAGCCAAAAAGTCCCCCAATGAGCAGCTCCGTAGTCTGAAAGGGCGGGGAAACAGCCCAATGAGCATCACCGCAGAGGAGCCAATCAGCTAGAAGTTGCTGGGGCCGCTGTGAGCCAATCATCAGCTGGCAGTCTGAAAGTTTGCTGGGGCCCCTTCGGCTGTGGCTCTCAACAGGGTTCAATACCTACCATCACCAAAACAGAGGGGGGGGGGATGGGAAGAGGTAAGCACAGAGTCTACCTTATTAAATGGTAGCTTGTCATTTCATTCATTCATTGATCCCAGGGATTGCACTCAGAGGTGCTTTACCATTGAGCCACATCCCCAGCCCTTTTTATTTTTTAAGACAGGGTCTAAGTAGCTTAGGGCCTCTCTCTAAATTCCTAAGGCTGATTTTGAATTTGCACTCCTCCTGCCTCAGCCTTCTGTGTTGCTGGGATTACAGGCATGCTCTACCACACCCAAAAGTAGCTAGTTATTTTTAAAAAGTTACAGATTTTTAAAAATTTACGCAGGGGGAAATCAGAGTTAATTTGAGTTTAGAACACAAAATGCGTGACATAAAGTATTCTATTTTGCTAGAGGATGTTTCCAAATTCGGTTTTGCAGTGCAAAAGAAAATAACATAAGAATTCACATAGCCCAGCCAGGCACAGTGGCATACACTTACAATCCCAGTAACACGGGAGGCCAGACTCAGCAATTTAGCAAGGCCCTAAACAATTTAGCAAAACCCTGTCTCAAAAGAAAAAATTAAAAAAGCACCCTTGTGTTCAATCCCCATTACCAAAAACAAAGAATTCACACAGTCATATAAGCAAACAAACAGAACAACAAAAAACAAACAAACAACCGGACCAGTTGAATAGAAGCACAATTATTTCCGGCACTGAGACCGAAGAGAAATATCTCCTATAGGTTTCCATAAGAAAGATATGGGGTATTACAATAAAGTCCATATTTTTGTAGTAAAAATATCTTTAGGCTTTTGTACAATTTCACAATGTTTCTAAAAGTGAGCAAATAAGACAATGTAGTCCATGTATGTATCTTTGATGGTGTAATAGAATCTAAGACAACTTAGCCTTTAGGAAAGTTACCACAGATTGTTGAGAGCCACAGCCAAAGGGGCCCCAGCAAACTTCTAGCTGCCAGCTGATGATTGGCTCACAGCCAGCCCCAGCAAACTTCTAGCTGCCAACTGATTGGCTCCTCTGCTGTGATGCTCATTGGGCTGTTTCCCCGCCCTTTCAGACCACGGAGCTACTCATTGGGGGATTTTTTGGCTCCGCACACGTGACCCAGCTAATCGGCCTAAAGAGCATAGTGTGTGTGTGTGTGTGTGTGTGTGTGTGTGTGTGTGTGTGTGTGTGTGTATGCACACACATGTGTGTGTTTGGAGGCGGCAGGGGCATCTGTTCTTTATTCTTACAAGATCAAAAAAATTCCTTCATAATGAGCATATAAAAATAAAAATTTATTCTTTCAGCTATACTTCATTTTTATGGAAAAAAAACTTGAAAACAGCAACTAGTTTCAGTTAACTGAAATAAAGATCTTTCTGTTTGAAAAGAATACAACACAAACGATATAAAATAACTTTTATTTACATAATTTATATCTATAGAACATAACTGCTTTCTTTAGAACAAGAAAATTTACATATGACAGATATTGCTTTTTTTGTCAACAACTTCTTCAAGCGGTAGTATACATGGTTGCGTCTTTTTAAAATAATATGCTGGTAAACAATGGATATTAATATTTTTATCGGTGCCTCAGTCATTTACCAACAATTAGGCTTTGAAGCCATCATGTTGATCACATGCTAAGATGTAAGTGTTTAGGAGGAAAAGTCAAGAAAAGAAAAGAAAAGGCTTTTAATCACATCTCCTTCAAGATTTATAAAATAAATTTTTTGCAACACCTTTACATCAATCAGACTTAACACAGATCATTCCATCTTGTAAGGTAAGTACAGTGATTAAACTTCTCTTTATCAAGATAAGTTTTAAGACTATAACAGTAGGATAATTTGTTAACTGACTTGATTCTCTATACAATGAATGCCCTATATTTGTTATTGTTTTACAATAAGAAATTATCATCCATAAAACTGGTTTATTGTAGATGTTAGCAAAGTTAAAAAATAAATATTCTACAGGGATAAATTATAATTTAGTCATGGCAATCTAATACCCAAACTAAGACTAATTAAGAATTTCAGAATGAGTTTTGTTTGGTTTGGTTTTTGAGATAGGTTCTCACCATGTTGTCCCTGATGGGATCAAATTCACCATACTCCTGCCTCAGCATCTCAAGTACCTGGGATTACAGACATGTGTCACTGTACTCAGTACAATATGAGATTTTTTAAAATTTACATAAATAGGTTATTAAAATAGCAATGAGATTTACTACCATGATTTTGTGACATTAATCAATAAAATAAATAAATGCATACTTATATAGAGAATTTCCACTCAGATTTACAGATCTTAATTCACGAGAAAAAGTTAAATTGTAAATTTCTCTGTAAGGCAATAAATAGAAGATGCTCTAATAGCAAGTTCCAATAAATTGGCATCACTGTTAAACTTGCTAAGCCATTATCCTCTTTTTAAGAAACTTGAAAACTGGCCACTATTTTTTCAATATACAAAACCCTAAAATTATCTAGACTTTAAAATATTTTCCCAATTGAAATACTGATCATTTCATAATGCAATCAACACAGTTTTAACTTATAGGCACAACTCATAACTCCAATGACAAATAACTTATACATACAGATATCAGCACCTTAAGGTAAGAAAACTATTGTTTAATGTAGGGTTAAACTAAAAACAATCCAGCCATGGCCCTTCATTCAAGTACTGTCTGTGGCAGAGTTGCATAGCTGCCACACAGACCAGCTGGCCTGCAAACTCAAAAATATTTTGCAGAAGTTTATAACTCCAGAGCTAATACATAATGTCCAGCTAGGAGGCTTTTCAAATAAAATCAGAATAAATCTGCTCTTTGAGAAATTTAATTTGAAACAGGAAAGGTTTGTTCAGGTAGAATGAATGGAAATATCAATCTCAAAATTAAAAATACTTACATTCATATTGATGACAATTACTGACCTTATAAAATCTTAAAATCTTGTTCTTATTTTGTTTTTAACATCACATTTATGTTCTGTGGTACATGTTCTTTAAACAGGGGTTGGGGGAGGAGCTATCAAGAAACCTTTTTTTTAAGGAGTGTATGTAAAGGAGACTGAGTTTTTTTGATACCAGGGATTGGACCCAGAGGTGCTTAACCACTGAGCCACATCCCTAGCCCTTTTTTTAAAATTTTTGACAGGGTCTCACTAAGTTGCTTAGAGCCTCACTAAACTGTAGAAACTGGCTTTGAACTAATGATCCTCCTGCCTCAGCCTCCTGAGCTGCTGGGATTACAGGCGTGTGCCACTGTGCCCCACAGAAGACTGAGTTTTGTGTGAGAATTTGTCTCCTAAGTGAAGTTGAGTTTTTTCTCTCCCTGAAAATCCTGAGATTACCATGAAATAAGAAAAATAAAAATTCACAGTACAAAGTCAATATACTAAACTATGAGGAAAAAAAGCATTTAAACCATACATACTACCCAAACATTTTCAGTTATATCATTTTAAAATCTACAAATAAAGAGGGAAAGGAGACAAACATAAAATTTAATGCCTTCTTTACCCACAATCTGAGGGGTGCATATAATTAAAACTGAGTATGCTTTTAAATAAAAATTTAAAAATAAATAAGCTTTGATGTATCAACCTTATAAATAGTAAATTTAAATACTAGTTCTTCAATTAGGACTAATGGTATATCACCATGAATTAGAAAAATACATATTTTTGAGTGAGTCAGATACACAACTGATAATAGAAAAGTTTTTTAACTTTACCATACAAGTGGACAATTTGCTTTCATATACTTGGAGGTAACTGAAAGAGCCTTCATCATCCCTCCCAAAGGAAAATAAAAACAAAAACCTTTACAAAAGAAGTTCACTGAATGTTAAATACAATCAACCTCCAATGTCGGCACTGATTTATACAGCCATTAATCCACAATATTCCCAATGTCCATGTGTGCTCAAAACAGGAAGTGTCAAAATGTAAACAAGAGTTGTTATTTCTGAGAAAGCAGTCTTAATTGCTTGGTATTTCCAAAATGCTGAATCAATCAGAACCAAAGGAACCTCAACAATGTTTTCCATTAATTATAAAAGCTTTAACTTGAGCTCATTAGATGTTCAAACTTGACCTAAAGAAAAATAAACAGTGATGCTTTTTTCTAAATGCTGCTTTGCTGATGTAATTGATTCTGGAAATTCCAATACTTAAAAAAAGAAAAAAAGAAGAAGAAACCCAAAAGACTGTTTCATTCTGTTTCATCTACTTCAATGAAGATATCACTGAAGAAATATTCAGAGACTGTGGTTGGCTCCTGATCAGGTGCCCGGTGTTGGCCACTTTTATGTTCTTCTTTCAGTAAGGGCTGATCACAAGAAACCTAAAAAGGTAATAAAAATAAATACGCAATACAACATTTACATATCTCTAGTGAGTACTTGTCTAGTGTGCACAAAGGCCCCGAGTTTGATCTCCAGCATCACGGGGGGCGGGGGGGGGGGGAAGTAATTCTAAACACAACAGAGTTTTAACAGTAAGGTAATTTGTTACATCAGCTATAACAATAAAATTGGACACATCCTAAATATACAACACTTCGACATGATTTGGCAAATTATAAGATGCTCAAGATCCATTTCTTCATCTTAACTCTCAAGAAAAAGTTGTAAGAACACAGAAAAATATAACATTGTTGAATCAGTAAATGACACTTCAATTACTGATGTAACAACAGATAGACCCATAAAACAGAAAAGCACCCAAAGGCATCACAAATCAGAGATCTTATCAAACACTTATAAATCTATAAAAAATTAAGATAGCATAGTATTGGCACAGGAATACATATAGATCAATAAAACAGAAGATTAGAAATAACATGGAAATTTATTATCTGATGAAAATTATATTTTGAAGAACAAATGAGAAAAGTTAAGATTATTCAGGGAGCTGATTTTGGAGAGCTGTATAACCACTACAGGATGAAAAACCAGTCAGACTTATATTTTATCAACATAAATTCTAGATTAATCCAAAGACCTAAATGTAAAAATATTAATTAAAACAACCACAAAAAAATGTACTATAATATGCCATAGTAAAATACTTATAATCCTGGTTTGGGAGGGGAGTGATATCTTTTTAAATGACCTGAAAGTCAGAAGCCATAAAAGAAACAATTGATAAATTCATCTACACAAAAGCTAACAGATGGGAATAAAAGACAAAGGGCATGTGCAAAAAAAAAAATGCAATCTATATCACCAAAGGGCATTTTCCTCCCTAATAAGAACTTCTACAAATCAGTATGAAAAGATAAATAATTTTTTTAATGTCAAATTATATTAATATATGTGTTACTGAAAATAAAGCATGAGCGGGGTATAGTGGCAAACACTTATAAACCTAGCTACTTGGGAGACTGAGGCTACTTGGAGGATCACAAGTTTAGGGTCAGCCTGAACAAAATAAAATAAAAAGGGGCAGGGGGTATAGCTTAGTGGTAGAGCACTAGCCTATATGCATAAGGCCCTAGGTTCAATCCCCAATACCACACACACACACACACAAAAAAATCACATAGAAACTAATAAAATCCATATGGAGAACAATCAGGCAGTACCTATCAAAGGAATAATCATTCCTTTTAATATTAAATCAATTCTATTGCTAGGAATTAAACCAATGGGTATATGTGCAAAAATGAGTCATTTTTAAGTTAAGCTATTACAACATTGCTTAAAATAACAAATAATTAAGAACAACCTAAATGTCTAAGAATACTAGACTATGATTATTATAAGATACAACCAAATAATGGAATACCATATAGTCATTAAAAACAATGAGGGTACTCTTGGACACTTATCCCTAAAAAATAAAAATTAATGTTTATATGGAACATACACATGAATGATCATAACAATTTTGCTCATAATAGCAAAAATTCAAAACAACTCAGATGTCCTTTAATGGCTGAATGAACAAGTAAAACTGTGGTACATTTATAGTAGGGAATATTATTCAGCAACAAAAAGATCAACAAAATATTGATACATAAAACCACTTGGAAGAGGGCTGGGGATGTGGCTCAAGCGGTAGCGCGCTCGCCTGACATGCGTGCGGCCCGGGTTCGATCCTCAGCACCACATACCAACGAAGATGTTGTGTCCGCCGAGAACTAAAAAATAAATATTAAAAATTCTCTCTC